ATTCTCTAGACGTAGAGAATGATTTATTTAGACCAAGAGATGTTGGAAATGAGATATTGGGACTCAACGTTCCATAATGCCATTTGATCCACCAAACACAATTGGTTGGTACTCAAGAATATCTTTGATATCTCCAAGGCATCAAACATCTTGTCCTGGTTTTTCAGTTTCACAGAAATGTGAACACCGATATCATTGGATACTTTGATCAGATCCCCACTATGTCAGATCGTAGACAAGCTTAGTGTTCATACTAGGTGTGGTAGCCCTCTCATGAAGAGTCTTCAAAATAGACCTCATGGCTACGTCTCAATGATAATGTTGCTTGTGTTGCCTGGATGCAAACAGATTACGTAATTAGCAATATCGTTATATTGCATATCTTGCAAGCCAATCATGTGAATGATTTGTTCACCAAGTCTCTACCAGCTTCTACATTCCAGAGATACGTTCATAGAGTTGGTATGTGATGGCTTCGGAATTTGCAAGAATCAGGGGGAGTACCTTCCTGAATTGTTCCTGTTCAAAGCATCATATTATACTCTTTTTTCCTTAATGAGTTTACTTTAAAGGTTATCATAAAGGTTTTTAATAAGGTAATATCAACATGAGATCATATGTCATACTTTCTGTTTTCCCCACCGGGTTTTTTAAGAAAGTATATATGACATATTTATTGTCCTCTAAACTCTATGAGTTTCCTCGTATTGAGTTAAAAGAGACAATAACCGTTATATGTTGCATCATTTTCTCCTTATTTTTCCCACTGGGTTTGAAGGAGTTTTAGCAACATATTCTACACTACTCCTCATATTTTTCCCACAGGGTTTTTGGAGGAGTCTCTTTCGAGTTGATGATACTACATGGACAAGCGAAGATTAGGGGGAGTGTTAGAATTAAATACACATGTTTAATTGGAAGGGAATCTCCCCTTGTTAACCGCCATGCCGTTGCCAACAGGCAACCGACGCGCCTCTCTCTTCGCGTCCCTCTGTATCGTCGCGTCCCTGCTGCACTTTGGCCATGGCAGTCGTTGCCACCGTGACTATGTCCTCGGGATCTCATCCTACTGTCCTGGATCGGGGCGGCAGTGGCGATTTGGATCCGGGCGGCGGCGGCTGAGCAAGGGCACCGGTGCTGTCTAGGTACATGTCTTCCCTCTCTCCCTGCCTCCCCCCTCTCTCTGCCCCGTCGGGGTCACTGTGAGCCCGTGACCGTGTACTGGTGGGGAACTCCGGTGGAACGGCAAGGAACGGCAAGGCGACGGCGACGAACGGCAAGCACGGGTGCTCTGCTGGCGGAGGCATGTTTTGGGGATGGGGAGACCTCCGGCCGTGGGGAATGGAGAGAGCTTTGGATGCAAACTGAATTTCATCTCTCTCTGTTCTTTTTTCTGCTGATGGCACAGAAGAACGTTGGTAATGTTGAGCTGACAAAGAGAAGTAGCAGACTAATTTCTATGTCGACTAGATGATGATTTAATCCTTGTGTGTGGTTTCCTTTGTATTCTTTATATGATGTTATTTTGTGATCCTTGAGTATGGAAATAGCTTGGTGTGCAGCGTTGCCCTTGTGAGCAATCTCTGATGCTACTGATGTTGTTTATATATGTATTACTTATGACACTAGGATTCAATCCTCACCGAAGATTGAATTCCATCTTCTTGGTTAGAATACACAAAGGATTTGAATTGTGAATCTTGTAAGGACATTTATTTTGTGAAATTTAACATGACTAATTTGAGACCGGCAAAGAGGATTGGGCCCGAAGAAATATTGATATTGAGCTAGGTCCGCAAGGCGATATGTCGAGCTCTGCGTAGCCTTCTTTCAATGGCTTATTTAAACAGGTGTCTCCTTTTCCTTTGTATGTGCTTTCGAGTCTCATTTCGTGTAAAAATAGTCTATAGATGTCCTGCGGTGTGATTTTATTTTTCGAGTTCAGCTCTGTGTTATCATAGTATTCAGGTTAGGGAGATCAAGAAGATGTTTCATATGTCACCACAACTACTGGAGGATTTGCAGGCGACCAACTATTATATGAGTTTGGATGACCAAATATCAGTAGTACATCAAAATCTACGGCTTTATATAGTTTGTCACATACTGTCTTATTTCATATATGATGACCATATCAATCAAGTGTTTGTTTCTTTTTTTATTCAGAGTGTACAGTGATTACAGTGTAACAAGAATAGAAAATAAGGTACTCTCTAAATAATGTGTGAGGTTTCAGATTCTGTAATTTGTTTCACTGTTGCTAACTGAGCATGCTTAGATAATGGGGTGATTTGAGTGGAGTTTCAGAGTCGACCGTTCATGTTTGCAGTCTCAAGTTTCTATATGTATAGTTTGAGACCTAATAAGTACTGATCATTTCAGAAAGTTTCATGTTTCATACTTATGATTGATACTGATTGTATTCACGTAATTGGGCCACTTGGATACGGTGGTTGGCTAACTAATAAGTAAGATGTACCCAGTTCTGCATAAAGATTTAGGCACCCTAATTTTATAAGTCTTTGTGGAGTCAGAGGTGTTGAATGTTTTTGTTCGAAGTCTTTTTGAAATGATGAGTGATGCATACCTATTCAATGTTTTACATGGTACTGCAAGTGAAGAATTGTACTGAACCATCTAATGGGTTATTGTGTTTCTTTGAAGTCATGAATTTGTAGCAAGTGCCGCCCTCATTGGCATTCTTTTTGAAAGATATCCAAGATAGTTAAAGCATCATGGGGACGAGGAGGCCGAGCAGTCCGTTGTGTCTCCGCCGCCGCCGGCCGCACCGGTATGTTGTGCCCCTTTCCCTGCTTCACGTCCTAGGCTACTCCACCACCACTAGATACGAGTGTGGCCATGACAGAGGAATCTTGTGCAGGGGGATTTGATGCATAGCATGTTATGTACATGCAATGGAAATGTTACACAGTGAAACACATTTTGATCTTCTAATATTAATACGCATTGCTGGCATAAAGGTTATTATTTGTTTTCTATTGGGGAAAAAATTAGGACTAAACGTTTTGGTATGTCTGATTGTTGACATGCCATCGGAGGTGCATGATTGTCTGATAGGCTTGAATTCTTAAGTTTTCTTTCTTATTGGTCTTGTTTTATTTATTTTGGTGAAAACCCATGATTTTACCATAACCCAAAATTGCTGAGATAAACGGAGGCTCAATGAGAAGTTTTGGGACATGGAAGAAATTGATTGTTCTAATTTAAGTAATATAAAAAGAGAAGTAGTATTTTCTATTAGTAACATATGTCTATAATATTATGATTTACCTCTGCTAATAGGTGTCGTCTTTGCAAAGAAGCATGCCCAAATTTGTAAGCCCATATTGGTATTACTTTCCAGTAATCAAAAGCCAACAAAATATATATTTATGAATGATCTATTATCTTTCCATGAATAACAATGATAAATTTGTTGTTGACTCATGTTATATCCTCACAAATAAAGTGCCACATGGAACTTTCTCTATCAGTTCAGGCTGGATGAGCAAGACGACATACTGCATACCGGGACCAAGGTGAGAATATTAGATGGAAATTTATGTAGCATATGTACAACTACGTTTATTAATCTCCTTCTTATTTTTTCCTTTTTCTTTGCAGAGTTATGTTCATCATCAGTGATATGTGTTAATATATACTCTCCTAGAGATTGATTTCTTTGCGATCGCAAAAAAAGGGGTCAGATACATGGCGAGCTTCAAAATATCAAGTTGCAAGTACCTTCGTTGCTTTGGACCTTGCCATGGAAGGATGAACACTAAATGACCACAAAATGCCTCTAGATTATGAGTAAGCGTGTTTCTACCTTCAGCGGTTTGGGCATCTGCTTTGTCTCTCTGGCTGGTTTCACAGGTACCTGATTTTGCTTGGAACAGCCACAGGTGCTGCAGCTTGGTTTGCTGACTAGCAATGTCTTGTTTCTTTGGTGGACAAACTTGCATCTCAGAACGTTGATGAATTATTTCATTTGATCAGCTTATGTGGAAACTACTAATTTTCATTGCCTCTGTACACACACTTGCGTATCTTTTTTCCTCGTGCTTATTGGCAATGGCCCACTCATAGGCACGACCTAGAAGAAAATAAGATTGAAGATGTATTTTTCTTGGTTGGAAATATTACACCTCAAATTTACTTCAGTTTGGATGCAATGATGACTCTAAGATCGAAATAACTGGTGAATTATGTCAATTATACAGTTTAAGAGGTCATGGATGTGATATATGAGAAACAATTTTGTCTGTGATACATGAATATCTATATGGCACTGTGGCTGCTGGCGAGATGTTGGTCATGGCTTTGGTTGTCGAGATGCACTAGCTAGGGGTGCATGCATGGCCATAGGCCACAATTAAATTTTTTTGACGGACTGAGGTATTTGCTAAGCAATGGACATGGCCCTGTTGATTTATAAAGCACAATATTTTCAGTCATTTGTATGAGTTAGGAATTATATGCTTTTTGCGTGAGATTGCAGCTGTTCAAAATGTAAATTTATGTTATGACAAGATTATGAAGTTTCATAGTAGAACATATTTAATCGAGACGTGCGTTGCACATGCATGCTTACTAGTGATGGGAAAAAACGTTGGGAGGTGCGAAGAGTGTACGCATTGGACTGCTCGGGAGCAAAATGTGAGTGGGGCCCGTTATCTACTAAAACATGGGGAAATAGAAATGGACTGGGCTCCTCACTATGTCCCCACTCAGCCCTAATATGTGAGTTTGTCTTCGATACTTTTTCTTACTGCTGGGTTCAAGATTGCTAATCTGTCATGCCGCCTAGTGTCCTCTATATTTTTAGAACACTTTATTCTGATAACTTCATATAACTCAAGTTGAGTATTAAATTTTTGTTCTACTTAACTTTCCAGTGAAAGTCTTGCTGCCGCACTGTGAAGTGTGGCATTGCAATTATTTTTGTCTAATGGTCATACTTCCCTTTACTGGGACCTCAATTAACGAGGGAAGTACAACTAATTGCACCAGGTACATCCGCACAACTTTCCAACACAACTGGCTTTCTGAAGACGACATTGATCGCCACAGACGGACTGGCGCCTTGCGTCGCAGGACTGCTCGCAAATAGCGTTTGTACACTTATTTGGACGGTTGATAATTGATGTCGTACAATCAGCTTCCACATCTACAAAATAGCATAACAAAAGAAAACACACACATCATGCACATATATAATTTGTTGGTCTTGCCGATGGAGCAACATTGTGCATGAACAAGGTGAATGGTACCTGATGCTAGTAAGAGGACGGTAAGAGTCAGGAGAAGCGCTAGAGCAATCCTCATGTTAGCTTAGATGTGGTGTTAAGAAGAATTCTCACCCAAGATAGATTATTGGAGTATAAGTTGCCGGGAAAGAAAATGAGAGGGCAACTCTTTTTATACTGGATGTGATATTAATGCTCATTACTATAATCTGTAAATATCTCCAAAGAAGAAGACTGGATAAGCTTCGCCAATTCAATAGTAGAAATTAAGTGCATTAATTTGTGGATATATATCTCTTCATTCTCCTCCCTCCGTTTCTATTTATTTTGCATATTAGCTTTAACTTTATAAAGTTTGACAAGTTAATCGAAAGCAATCTGAACTTACACAATATAAAATATATATGGTATGAAAATATATTGAATGATGATTCTATGGTATTGACTTCGTATCCTGGATTTTAATTTTTTGTATAAACTTTGCCTAAGTTTACAAGGTTTGACCTGAGACATAATTAATATGCAAAGTAAATAAAAATGAAGGGAGTACTTACTAGCAAAGGCAATGAAAAGACCAATCGCATCCCATGACAAATATCTCAGAACAAGTATACCAAGGGGTTATATACCAACGATAGTGTGCAGCTCTGTGATAACACATGCGCGACTATGCCTATGAGAGTCTGCAACTCCGCAACCGTCCGTGAGTGCCTCCCACAGCCGTGCATGTGGGACTATGCGCACGAGAGTGTGCAACCCCGCGGCCACGCATGTGGGACTATGCCAGTGAGAGTCTGCAACTCCATGGCCATGCGTGAGCATCTCCCGCACCCGTGTTTGCGCGACAATACTGGTGAGAGTGTCCAACTCTGTGGCCATGCATGTGCAACTATGCCGATGAGAGTCTGCAACTTCCTGATTGTGCTTGTGCGACTATGCGACTATACAGAGTAGAGTGTGTAACTACGCGGCCACGCATGTGCGACTATACCGATGAGAGTGTGCAACTCATCGGTCACGCATGTGCGACTATGCCTTTGAGAGTGTGCAACTCCACAACCGTGTGTGAGCATCTCCCGGAGCTGTGCATATGCGACTATGCGGGCCAGAGTGTGCAACTCCGCGGCCACACATGTGCGACTATGCCGATGAGGGTCTGCAACTTCACAGCCTTGCTTGTGCGACTATGCGAACTAGAGTGTGCAACTCCATGGTCACACATGTACAATTATACTGTTGCAAACCAATGTTGTCGGACGGCAGTTGTGCGTGCTCATCATGTCAACGAGTACCACAAAGAAATCAGTGTGCCTTACATCACGCGGTGTCACAGTCCATCACTTTCCTCCCCCCACTTCTTTCCTTCTTCCCATGCCCATCTAGGACACACACTCCCACTGACATCGGCATTACCCATCGGTCCAGCGTAATCTTCCAGAACCCTCGTATCACACCAAGTAATAATAACGAAAGAAAATCAAGCCAACTCCCAATGCCAACCACAGTGAACACCTATGCCAACAAGACTGTGCAACTCCACGGCCGTGCATGTGAAACTATACGGGTGAGAGTGTGTCAGTGCGCTGCCACACTTGTGCGACTATGGCGACGAGAGTGTGCAACTCTGCGGCGGTGCGTGTGCTATTATGCCGGTGAGAGTGTGCAACTCCATCGATGTGCGTGTGTAACTTCGGCGGCCGTGCGTCTGTTACTATGCTGACAAGAGTGTGCATCTTTGCAGCCGCACGTGTGCGATGCGAGTGTGCTACTTTGTGGTCGTGCATGTGCCACATGCTTCCACTTTGCCAGCAGTAGTTGATCGAGCTTACAACGTCGCGCGTTTAGCTATATTAGCAATGCGAGCGCGGGACATCATCTAATCATCTTAGTATTGTCGTGTTGTGCAACTTTTTAATTATCGTATCCAGCTGAGAACTATTATTTGTGCAACTGCAAATACTGCGGATGCCAACTAAAAATATGAAGATCGATCTGTAGAAACAGAGGACAAAAATATAAGGGTGTGTCTAGATCTCAGTCGACTTAGACTTCGCGAAGTCTAAGTCGATGACGTCATTCATCTTTTTTTTTTTTCATAGCAGCGCCCTCCACCTTTGTAAGCAGCGTATTATCCATGCACGTGTACTGGCCCGTTGCTTTCAATTCTTGTCTTGAGCTGGTCCCGTCTCTCTTTCTCTCTACCTTTTTCTTCTTTTATTTTTTCAATGAACTTGTCTCGCTGCATAGTTTCTTTAGGCTGTTTTTTCTATTTGTTGGGTTTTCTTGTATTTTTATTTGTGATTTTTCTGGTTTTGTTGACAAACCATCGGAGGACCACAAAATATTCGCTCACTTGTACATAGAAGCTGAAGAAAAAGGTAAACAATGGAGAAAAAGCTAGAGGAAAGGATGTACGAGTTGAATCATTCTGTATCATTAAAAAATCATTTATCTAATAAACGAATAAAAAAACAATAGATAGTAAAAAAGAAAACCATGTACACTGTTTTTCTAAATTAAGTTGCGCCCTAACAATGGAAATGCAACAACGTGGGTTAGTCTATGTGTATGTGTGTGTGTGCGCACGCATAACCGGGTGGTGATACTTTAAAAAATAAGATGTATAAAAAAATAAGAAGACATATTGCATGCATGGTGTATGTGGTGTTTGTATGTACTGATTGCACACAAAAGTTAAGGAATATTTATGAATTTGAAAAATTGCTCATGAATTCAAAAGTTGGTCGCAAATTTGAAGAGAGTTCACAATTTTTAAAATTTGACAAATATTACATGTTTTTTAAAAGATCATAATTTAAATAAAATTCATGTTTTTGTCTTAAAAAATTAAGAACAAAAAATGAAAATAAAAAAAGAAAGAAAACACATGAATATTTAAAAATGTTGTGAAAAAGGTAACTGAAGACAATCCCCTCTCACCATGAGTTGCAGTTGCGTTGGGAGTCATACAATTGTTGTCGGGTTACAACACTTCTAGTTGCATGTCTAGGGATGGACATGCAATTGGCTGATAAACCACATATCGACCTAGTTGTTGTCGCATTGTGGGACACGCAGTTACTGTCGCACCAGGGTCATGCAGTTGCATGTCTCATGTTGGACATGCAACTGGCCGACAACCCCATACTAGCTCAGTTAGAGTCACATTGAGGGCCATGCAGTTGCAGCCGTGTTTCAACACTTGAATTTGATCGCCTAGTGATGGACATCAACTGGTCGACAACCCCCCTACTAGCCCATTTGCAGTCATGTTGGGGGCATGCGGTTGCAATTGGGTTCCAACACTTGCAGTTGCATGTCTAGTGATGGACATGCAACTGGTCAATAACTCCCCTACTAGCCTAGTTGCAACCGCATTGGGGTCCATGTAGTTGAATGTCCAGTGATTGGCATGCAACTGGCCGATAACCCCCTACTAGCTCAGTTGCAGTCGCGTTGGGGGCCATGTAGTTGAGTCCGGTCCCAACACTTGTAGTTCCATGACTAGTGATGGACATGCAACTGGACGATAACCCCCTACTAGCTGAGTTGCAGATGCCTTGAGGGGCATGCGGTCAAAGTCATGTTTCAATGCTTGTAATTGTGTGTCTTGTGATGGACATGCAACTGGCCGACAACCCCCCTCCCTACTAGCCCGATTGCAGTCAGATTGGGGGCATGCAGTTGCAATCTGGTTCACACATGCAATTGGTCAACAACCCCTACTAGTCTAGTTGAAGTCGGGTTGGAGGCATGCAGTTGTGATCCGGTTCTAATACTTGTAGTTATATGTCTAGTGATGGGCATGCAACTAGCCGACAACCCCCCAACTAGCCCAGTTGCAGTCGCGTTGGGGCCACGCACATGCAGTTTGGTTCCAATACTTGCAGTTGCATGTCTGGTGATGGACATGCAATTGGCCGACATCCACTACTAGTCTAGTTACAGTCGCCTTGGGGGGCATGCAGTTGCAGTCCAATTCCAACACTTGCAGTTGCGTGTATAGTGATGAACATGCAACTAGCCGGCGCCCCCTACTAGTCCAAATATCTTTTTCTTTCTTTCCAAATTTGTGTGTGTCATCCTTACACAGGGGCCATATTAAACTTCTCTATATTGTTTCAATTTTATCACAAGTCCCCGAGGAGACAACAATATCCTTTTCAGTTTGACTAAAAGATAATAAAAGAAAGAGGTAATAGTCTATATAAAGACAAACAAGAACATAAAAACAAATACACACGACGACACGCGAACTTAGGCCTCTTTTGGTTCATAGGATAGGATTATCATAGGAATAGGAATCTTGTAGGAAATGAGATGACATGTATCTCAAATCCTATGAGTAGGAATAGGAAACAAGATGTCATTTGATTGACACCAAAGAAATTTTTCCATTGAGTCTAGGCTCTTTTTTATTTTCCTATGAAATGTGGAGGATAGGAACCAATCCTATGTAGGAATAGGAATCCATTCCTATGAACCAAAGGGCTCTAAAGGAAAAAATCCTATAAGAATCCTATCCTCTAGAATTCCTATGAAATTCCTCTAAACCAAATGAGGTCTTAGTGTCTAGAATGCATGGCTACCGAATCAACCGAGATATCACTAATTCTCCATCTACCGAGAAGATGACAAAATAAAAAAATGGTTTTACATAAAATGGAGAAAACTATCACAAAAAAGAAAAAAACGTGAAGAAAATAAAAGGAACATATAAATGGAATAAAAATAAGAATAAGCGAAAACGGAATATAAAAGGGAACAAAATAAATGAATATAAAAAATAGGGAAGATGAATTGACAACAGTAACGAACAAAAACGAATATTTTAAAAAATATCATGTCAAACGATATGAACAAAACAAATTAAAAAAAGTGTATGGAGGAAGGATATACCCCCAGCCCCCTAACTCCTTGCAGTCAAACAGCCCCGGTTTACTACAAAAGGCAGTCAACAACAAATAAAGGGAAAAATGCAAAAATGGAAGGAACAAAAGGCAAAAAAAAAAACTTTGGACCCGTCCAGCACGCCCCAACCAACAACAGGCCCGACAGAAGAAAAAGAATCTAAAAGAA